GGGAGCATGGGAACCCTGAAAGGTCCTGGGGGTGGTGTGTCTTGGGGAGCCGTGCGGCCCCTGTGGTAGAGAGCGGGAGGGGTGGGGGTGGAGACCCTTTTCAACCCAGTCCCAGCCCCCACCCCACCCCACCTCTCCTGCCCCTGCTCCCTCGGGCCCAAGTCTGTGTCTGCTCCCCGCCCCACAGGATGGCACGGCCTCCCCCCCATGAACTTGGTGCTGTCGGAGCGTGGAGTATTTTTCCAACTCTCAGCCCCATTCCCACGGCCGAACTGAGAACGTGAACAAAGAGGCGAGCGTCCCCTTTGGCACCAATCGTAAGCCAGTGTTCACTGCAGCCTCACCTGGAGATGCAATTTGATAGAAGAATGAGGTTTGTTAATCTTTTGGATTCCTTTAAAAAACAAAATTACTTGCTGCTCAAACCGAAAGCGGGCGCCACTCGGTCCACAGCCGGGGGGCGGGGGGCGGGGGGCGGGGGGGGGGGTCTGCAGTTGTTAGATGAGTCACGTAAATCGGGGCGGTCTGGGAGGAGCGACCGATGCCTTTCGCTCTGGGAGTCCTTCAGCACAGCCTGGCAGCAGGGCTTCCCGACCTTCCATCCAGGCCGTTCTGACCACCTGCTGACGGACAGTCCGTTTGGTCCTCTTTGCATTTTGTTTGAAACAGAGCCCGGCGCCCTCGCTGGCGTGGCTCAGTGGATAGAGCGTTGGACTGCGGACTGAAGGGTCCCAGGTTCGGTCCCGGTCAGAGCACAGGCCCAGGTTGTGGGCTCGGTCCCCAGTGTGGGGCGTGCAGGAGGCAGCCGATCCATGATTCTCTCTCATCGTGGATGTTTCTCTCTCTCTCTCCCTCTCCCTTCCTCTCTGACATCAATACAAATATTTTTTAAAAAGAAGAAGAAAAGAAACAGAGCCGGGGAACGCCTGGTGGGCCGGCCTTGTCGCCAGCCATTGGTCACTCAGCCTCATGCCGCACAGGGGTGGCCTCTGCCCCTTGGTGCCCAGGGACCCCCTCCTGGGGGATGGGAACTGGTTGGGCCTGCAGGCAGGTGACAGGGATGCTTCCTGTGAGGTGGGAGGAAGTGAACACGAAGGGGCGGGGCCTGACACCCGCGTGACACTCACGTGTGGGCAGATTGGCTTCGGGAAAGAGCAGGACGCTGAGGACCTGGAAGCCGGGTCCCTCGGGAAAGTCACACGGCGCTCTCGACCCCCAGGCGAACCCCGGCCCGTCCGTAACCCCGTGTCTCCACGGAGCCGCCACGCAGTTCACCACCCGCAGCGAGCACTGCACGGGGATCAGAGCTCAGGCGACCGACTCCCAGGCCCACTCCCCCACCACGCTGTGCGCTGAACACAAGGGTCACCCGTGGGGACGTGCACAGGACCCATGTGGTCTCAGAACTTGCCTGGCGTGTGGGCGACCCCACTGCTGAGCTCACGGTGTGGGAAGACGGATGCACCCGCATCCACGGAGAAGGCCCACGTGCATTCTCCCCTTGCCGCACCCCCCCCACCTCCACCCCGAGAAATCCCTTCGGCTGCCCCAGAATCGTCGCTCTGCGGCCAGCAGGTGGCAGCACCGCCTCACCACTGTCCTGGGGACTTGGTTGCTGGCTGACTCACCCTCTGGGGAAAATTCCGTTGTGGAGACTGAGGTGAAGCGGAGACAAAGTTCAAGCCCTCCCCTCCTCTCCCCCCTCCCCTCCCAGGCAGCAGCCTCAGCACCTGGCTCACTGACTGCTTTTCCTGGAATTTCTCTTCCTTGCAGCCTGAGAGCAAGCATGTCAGACTCGCAGCCCACCGGCTGCATGCGGCCCACAACAAATATTTTTGGGGCCCAGCCACTGTAACGGTTGTAAGAAACGGTTTAATGAAAATCTAGTAACTTAATTTTTCCAATATCCTGTTATACGTAATCTATATCTCGTATATAAAAGCCTAAGCGACCGGTCGCTGTGATGCACGCTGACCACCAGGGGGCAGACACTCAATGCAGGAGCTGCCCCCCGTGGTCAGTGCGCTCCCAAAGCAGGAGCACCGCTCAGCTGACGGAGGGGCGCCAGGGTGAGTGGGAGCCGCAGCAGCGCTGGCCGGGCTGATTTCAGCCCAGTCCCCGGAGGCTGTGCCGGGGGACCCCACCGGTGCACGAGCTACAACGTTCGCTAATGACGGGTGGCTGTAATCGTGCTGCATTCATCTCCCTACGCACCTTACGCGCAGGGCGCACCATTTTCCACTAACACCAGCAGCGAATATCTTAGCAGCGATGGCCTTCGTCATTTCGTCCTTGGGCTGACTTTGTTTGGTGTGCGCAACAGGGAAATATTTTCGCTTTCGGAAAACAAGGAAAATAGGTTTATTTTGCATCAAATTTATTAATTTGTGCAGTTATTCAGTGTCTGGTAAGTGAATGTTCAAGAAAAAATATTAATTTTTATTAAAATGTTCTATTACGTTAACGATGACTCACTTATTTCAGCCCTTTGTATTCAGCAGGTCTCTATCAGAATAAACCTACGTTTCTATGAAAACTGAAGCTTTTGATGTTTGCGGCCACATCCACTTCACCCTTGTTTGGCCCGTGTGAGCCTTTGAGTTTGACATGCTTGCTGTAGAGATCTTAGCGTGTAGCTGTGGCCGCGGGCAGGTGAAGGCTGGACTCTATGGACAGACGGGCTTCCCGGCCCAGCGTTGCCTTGTCCTGGCTCCGTGGCCGGGAGTAACCCTCAGCCTCTGTTTGCTCATCCATGGATGGGAATCATAGAGCATCCACCACGGCTGTCACGAGGGTGAAGAACTCAGCGTAGACCCTGTGCTCGGCTCGGAGCCGCTCCCGGCAGGTACCTGACAGGTGCCGACTGCTGGACGGTGTGGCCAGCAGGCCCTGTCCCGGAACGCACCCCCCGTGGGCATCGCGGTGTGGGTCACGGGACGGGGCAGCGCCTGTTTCCTCTGCCAGGGCCGCCTGACACGCCTGCCCACCCACCGCGCAGCCGGCAGCTTCCCCTGGCGGCGCCACTCGCAGGCAGGACACTCCGGAGCTTGGCGCTCAGTGCAGCCGCGCGTGTCCTGCTGGCTCGGCTCTGCTTCCCATGATCTTGGACTCTGGGTCTCTGTTAGGGCACGTGTGTCACAACTCGGGCTGGAGACACACCTCGTTAGAGACACAATAGAGTGGGTGCGGCCCCCTCTCTGTGGTAACCCCCCGAGTGGGTGGGCCCCTCTATGTAGTAATCCCGCGGGGTGAGGCCCTTGGTTCCCTGCACCCCTGGCAGGTCAGGACACAGGGTGTATGACCTGATGCAGCAGGTCCATGGGCTGTGGAGCCTGAAGGACTGGGAAGGAAAGGCTAAGGCAGCCGTGGGCAAACTACGACCCGCGGGCCGGATCCCGCCGTTTGAAATGAATAAAACTAAAAAAAAAAGACCGTACCCTTTTATGTAATGATGTTTACTTTGAATTTATATTAGTTCACACAAACACTCCATCCATGCTTTTGTTCCGGCCCTCCGGTCCAGTTTAAGAACCCATTGTGGCCCTCGAGTCAAAAAGTTTGCCCACCCCTGGGCTAAGGGCTAAGCTGTGCCCATTCCCAGCACAGGTGAGCCCATCCCCCTGGCCTCTTTGCTGGGCTGGGCCTGGGGGTGGAGCCTGCGGGTAATTTCACGCTGTTTTCCAAGAGGCCAGAGAATGAAGACAGGCAGGCACGGGCCAACTCAGCGCCAAATGGGCTCAGATCCCGGGCTGACGCCTGAGACCCTGGTCACCTCCAGGAAGAAGATGGTTGGAGTCTGGGGAGGAGGGACTTGCTTCCCTGCACTGGACTGACCTTGGGTTTCCTGGGAGCCGGACAGCGGGCAGCGGGTCGGAAGGTTGATGGGAAGTGGGCTGGCTGGTCGGAGCCCTCTCACTCTCCCATGGTGAGCGTGGCGCCCTCTTTGCCGGGCCTCGGGTCAGCTGAGCTATTGTTATCCTGCTCCTCACGCTCTCCAGGCGGAGCACATGGTCAAGTCAGTGAAATTATTTTTAATGTATTTTAACCCAATTTAGCCAACGCAGTTTCGTGACCAGCGACTGAAATCTACAGACACTCTGCGGGTTCCTGCCCCCACCTGGGTTTCCATATTAAATTAGTACTTCTTTAGCCCTGGCCGGTGTTGCTAAATGGTTAGAGCGTGGCCCTTGCACCTGAGGGTCTCGGGTTTGATTTCCAGTCAAGGGCACATACCTGGGTTGCAGGTTTGATCCCCGGCCCGGTCGGGGCACGTGCAGGATGCAACCAATTGATGTTTCTCTCACCCAATCTCCCTCCCTCCCTTCCACTCTCTAAAAAGCCATGGAGACGTGTCCTCAGGGGAGGATTAATTTTTTTAAATGCTTAAAGCAGTAGCTCTTTGAGTTTCTGGAATTCTTTCTTGAGCCTTAGTCGCTAGAGCACATCTTCCAGAGCACGCTTCTGAGCGCGAATGCACACAGGGACCTCCTGGCGGTTCCTACACTGTAGTCTGAGTCTCTTTCCCGCGAGCTCCCTGGGAGGCCGGCGCTGCTGGCCTGAGGCCCAACTCTCAGCTCGAGGGTCCCCGGCCCCGGTGTCCCAGATCCCCATGTTGGGGTTCCAGACCAGTTCCCTGATCTGTGCAGAGCACACGTGTCCTTCCGCACCCGGCCGGCAGGTGGCAGCAGCGCGCTCTGAGAGTCCCCGTGGGACCCAGGCCTCCTGAGGACCAGGTGGTGGCTTCAAAGGGGTCCCGGGAAGTGTCATCACGTCCGTCATGGTTCAAACCCACAAGCAACAGACCAATGAGGGTGATTCTCGCAGTTTTTTTAAAAAAAATTTGTATTGATTTCAGAGAGGAAGGGGGAGAGAGAGAAACATCAGTGATGAGAGGGAATCATTGCTCAGCTGCCTCCTGCACACCCCACACTGGGATCGAGCCTGCAACCCGGGCCTGTGCCCTGACCGGGAATCGAACCCTGACCTCCTGGTTTATGGGTTGACGCTCAAACACTGAGCCCCGCTGGCCGGCCTCGCTGGGGTGTTTTTAATGACCGTTTGGCTCCTTCCCGATCTGACCATCGCCTGTGCAGGTCTCCGCCTGGTGATGGGAGTCGGGGGCCGTCAGCAGAGTGGCTGTGGTTGGGTTGTTAAGTCTTTATTGTTGAAAGTGTTACAGCCGCTTCCCCCATGACCTGTGGCTGATGTCAGAGGGCTTGGTCCCGCGTCACCTGCTGCTGGAGAACCCCCAGGGCCACTGTCGCCCACTCACAGGTGAGCAGACGGGCGGAGGAGCGTGCGTTTCGTCCAGTGCAATGGAGAGGGTGCGGGCCCAGGTGAGGACCCGCCGGGACCTCCGCCTCCTGCGTGTGGAGGCCACACAGTCCCTTCCGCATGGAGCTCTGCGCTCAGCGGGGGCAGTGCGCACCCCTCTTTACCAGGAACAAGTCCCCACTGACGGCGGATACCGATGTTCTGGGTGTGAATTCTCACAGACACCCTGACACACGTTGGGCGCCATGATCTGAGAGGCAAGCTTTCTACAAACAGTGTGTTTCTTCACCGTAAGGAGCCCACAGGACCCAACCCTCTTTGGACAGATCGGTAACATTCTGAGAACACTCCTGAGCGGGGTGGGGGAGCTGATTTCTCATCTTGGGGACCCTCCCACAGGTTTTTCGGCCCCAGTTATCTCTGGGGCTCCTCCCGGCCCCCCACCCCCTAGAGCTGGCACACGAGGTTGCCCCAGCCCAAGGCCAAGCCCAGCAGAGCGTGAGCGTGGGTCTCAGGGCAGGACGCTCTGCTGTGGGCGCTGTGGGAGCCTCCCAGGCCAGGACCTGCAGCTCACCCCCCTCAGGCATTTTGCAAAACAAGAAGCAACTCACAGACAGACGTCAGAAAGGTGGTTCCGGAGGGAGAGGAGGCGGAATTGGGTAACGGGGTCAAGTCTATGCTAGTGAAGGGAAGCGGAGTCCTGGTGGTGAGCGCGCAGTAGGTGGTCATTGCAACGCTGTGGACTGAGGTGGGGGTGTGTGACTAACCAGTGTGGCTGCAGTAAATTTAATAAAAAATGAAGCAAGTTGTTTCTTGGATGAGGAAACCCCTTCCCTGAGCCGGGAATGGGAAGTGTAGGCAGGGCTCCAGGAAAGGGTGATGTTTGAACATGTCAAGCCCTTCGGGGAGAAGAGGGACGCCTGAACGAGTGGCCCGTGCATACGGTGTTCATGTGTGAGGCGTGTCTGGACTGCTGGATTCCAACCAAGACCTAGAGATACGGTCCCGTGACCGGTGTGAGTTCTGGGGGGAAGTCCTGGGACTGGGGTGCGATAGGTCCGTCTCCTGTTGAGGGGCAGCCGGAAGGAGCTGTGACTCGGAAGGCGGCTGTTACCGGTGAACGGAGTTTTGAGAGTGACAAGGGCAGCCACTGTGGAAAGCAGTGTGGCGGTTGCTCAAAACATAAAGAACAGACCTGCCTTGTGACCCGGGTTCCGCGCTGGTGTTTACCTGAGGGAATCTAAACTCTAATTTGAAAAGGTCTGTGCCCTCTCTGCTCAGGTCAGCATCATAACAGCCACGTGTGGGAGAGCCCAAGTGCCCATCCATAGGTGAGTGGACAAGAAAGTGTATAAACCACGGAATGTCACTTCCCATAAAAATAATAAAACCTGCCCGCTGGCTCGGCTCAGTGGTTGAGCATCGACCTATGAACCAGGAGGTCAGGGTTCGATTCCCAGCCAGGGCACATGCCCGGGTTGTGGCTCGACTCCCGTGTGCGACGTGCAGGAGGCAGCCGATCCGTGATTCTCATCATTGATGTTTCTAGCGCTCTCGCCCTCTCCCTTCTCTGAAATCAATAAAAATGCATTTAAAAAATAATAAAATCTTACCATTTGCAACAACAGGGATGGACCTAGAGGGTGTTATGCTAATGAAATAAGACAGAGAAAGACAAATACTGTATGAATGACCTCACTTATATGTGGAATTTAAAGCACAAAATAAATGAATAAGCAAAATTGAAACAGACTCATAAACACAGAGACCACACAGTGCCAATGAGAGGGGGGAGGGGCGGGACAGGTGGGGGGATTGAGAAGTACAGACTGGTCGTTACAGGACAGCACAGAGGATACAGGCCATGATATGGTGAGAACTGTGCTGCCAGGTGGGGGCGCAGTTCATAAATCACGTGTCTAACGGTGACACTACACATCTGAGCTAAGGGAGGACAGTGCTGACTGTCAGCTGTCATTGACAAGTGAAAAATCATCAATAAATCGGACCTCA